TACGCTGGGGGCTGTTGGGGTTGGCCACCTGCAGGGGGTCTGAGTGAGAAGTCCTTTTCAATTGTTTGCAAGTGGGGGATAGAGGGGGCTGTGACGTGGTGTCTGTTAGCGGTTGAAAGGCCTCGCAGGTGGCGTGCAGACAGCAGCAGCAGCAAAAACTCTTTGTGATGCCAAGGGCAACATGCCGCAAAATCAGCCAGCCCAACAGCTGGATGTGACGTCAAACTCGCTTAAACATTTTCTCTCCTCTGATTGCTGCTCTCCCGAACGTTCCAACCTCAGGCCTTTGTGCAGCGGTTCAGCGAGGCGCAGCGCAAGGTGCGCCAGCGCGTTGCAGCTGAGCAGCGGACGCGGCAGCACACAGCCGCCAAGGCTGTGAGGGCAGGGCAGCTCAAGGGGGCCGCCACTCTGAGGCCCCTGCCCGAGACAGCGATGCCACAGGTTGCGGACGGCGCCGGCTGCCCTGCTATGGTTGCAGCGCTAGCGGCGCACGTCGCCTCGCCAGACCCCGCGGCACCCACGGCGGCGTGCTTTGCCACCAGGGACCGCGGCACGTACAGAATGCCGATGGGGCGCGCTCAGGAGGTGACTTTGGAAGCTTGACCAAAGTCAAGTGACGCAGGCGATGAAGGTGCACAACTGTTTTGCTGCCTGGCTGGCTGATGAAGACATATGGCACAGTGGCGTTGACCAGAGGCGTCATTGCAACGCACGAGCTGACTGCACACCTACCTGCTCGACTGTGGCAACTCTCGCGTAAACGCATGTGGATTGTGCACAGCTTTCAAACTCAATACACAACTTGCCTGGCAAATTTCTTGTGTGCTGATTCCTTCGCATATTTTGATCATATGCAGCAAAGGAAGGTGGTGAGTCGACGATCCGTGCCAGCATTGTTATTTCGCATATCTCTGTCCTCCTTCCTTGGTGGCTGTGATCTACAACAGACACACCGCAGCACACCGGGAAGGTGTGAATTTGTTTGGGCCTGCATCCCTGAGTGCGCAATCCTCATGCCTAGTTCATTGTGAGAGCTTTTGTGCGGCTGCAGGGCGACCTGCTGATGTGCACTAGTGTGAGGCATGCCAAGGACGACCATACTGCTGCGATACGCCACCATCACACCTGTTTCAAATCGCGCGGCGCGGGCTTTGCACGGGCGGCGCGACGGCCAGGCGAGCGCTCCAGGCGGGATGACCCTGGTGATAGCCGACCCTCGCTCCCGCTGGCGCAGGTGGCCGTTCTGCAGCAACGCGCAGGCCTGGGGCGGCGCCCAAGGCCGGAGTTGCCGTGCTGCTGGCTTCAACAACGCACGCTCCCCGGTGATAGTCGAGCAACCCCACCTGCGTCGCGGCCCGAGGCACTGCTTGTAGAGTGCCTGGCGCCGCATCGGTGTAAGTTCCAGCTCCGCCCTGATGCAGACGGTATCGAGACAATATAGTGACCTCAGGTGCGACGTTGTTTTGGAGATTCAGCAGCTGTTGTAGGTTTGTCCAATCCCCACTTCTCAAGGGTGCACTCCCTCCATAGTCACCAAAGTCAACTTTGGGGAGACATGTCTACATGTGCAGCGTTCTCTTTGTGGCCCTGGCGTGGCCTCTTTGCCGTTTGGACTATGGCCTCCGTTCGAAACCGTTCAGGCTATGAGTCACTTTAAATCTTTTCTGTATGTTGTCTGCTCTAGCTGTCATGGGCATGAATGATGACAAGAGCCTCGTTTGACAGTTGACTGATGTTGCATGGCCTGCTGATCAGCACAGCCCATGAATCTCTGTGCAAGCCTCTGCTAAATGGCGAATGTGCACTGGTATGCCAGGCACATCAATACATCGTATCATAACATGGGGTTTCAATTGTAGTCGAGTCAATAGATCAGGTTGACTGGCGTGCTTGGGCGACACATGCACAGACAAAAGCTGAGCAGCACTGCTTACAGCTGCATGCGCGTTGATCTGGAAACCTAATCTGAACTATTGACAAATGTGTAATTGTCAAGGTGTAAGAAATACATGTGGCCGTGGTAGCCACACTGTCTGCCAATGTGTAATGGGTCAGAACAAATAGAAAGCAGTTGATTGTTGATTGTTGGCTGTATAATGCTGGCTGTTGGCCATGCCCCCCACGTGCCCCTCACTTCACAACCACCTCTATGATCTCCACCCTGGCCTTGCTGCTCATGATGTTGGGAGTGCCCGCATTGTACGGGCAGTACAAAAATCTCTCGCGCCGCGCCCAGGCCGCTAGGCCGCCAGGGGCCATGGTCTTGAAGTCGTCGGGGTCGGCGTCGCTGCCCCCGTCGTCGTCGGATGAGGCTGCTCTCTTCTGTTGCGAGCGCCCGCCAGTGCCGGTGCCTGTGTCCTCATCCGCGTCCTGGTCCTCATCCTCATCTTTATGCCTGTCCTCGTCCTCATCCTTCTCAAGTTTGTCCTCATTGCCCGCCACGCGGCAGTCGAAGGGGTGGCCACGCATCAGCTCTTCCCACGCCTCCTCACTTGCCGCGTTGGCGGCGGCTGTGGTCCTGTACACAACCAGGCCCGGGGCAGGCCCTTTGTTGGGCGCGCAGCTGCCGGGCCCGCTCCAGAACCACGTGCCGTCCATACGGACGGCTTTTGTGTTGATCAACTCCTCCATATCGGTGACCTCGTCGCCATACAGGTCTGTGTATGCCTCTTTTGAGATCAAGGCGACCCTTGTCGCGCGGCTGCATTTGACAGCATACACTGTGGCGCCAGGGGCGCCGCTGCAGCCGCCGCTGGTGCCGGCAGGGAGCGTCTCGGGCTTGATGTCCTTGATGGGGGGGCTGGCCTTTGGAGGATTACCCGGGGGTTTCCCCTTGGCCGACCTGCCCTTGGCTACTTTGGCCCCACCAGCGCCGCTGCCACCGCTGCCGCTGCTGGCCGCTGCCTTTCGCTTGGTGCCCTTGGGCGGCATTATTTCTTGTTCTATCTACTGTGCTGGCGCCGCCGTGCTCCTGGTGTGCATGCGGGCAACAGCAGCGCATGACAGCCACTGCTGAGCTGGTGCTGACAGGGGCGGTTTGTCGTGCGGCAAGCGCATCTGCAAGCGAGCGAGGCAGGCCGTCGCAGACAAGTGCTCAAATTCACGCCTCTTGTCGCCGTCTCACCTATAACTGTGCGCTTCTGATGCAACTACACGTCAGCTTGCAGATCACTTGCCTTCTGGTGACGATTTGTGTCCCCGATACAAGCACAATAAAAGTTCAAGAACATTCTGCAGGTGTGTGGGTAGTCACGTATGCAATGCACCGGCAATACGAAGGTTGAAAGCTTTGTCACTGGATCCCTTGACAACATTGTCGTGAGCAGTGCTGCACCCTTATCGATTAGATGGACGCTGCACATGGCTGATATTGAAAGGATCTGTGTTTGCCAACTCTGGCACAGCGATGTGCGCCAGTCGTCGTTGCCGACGAGTGTCCTGCATACAGCTGAACAGCATGGCCAGTCAGCATGCCGTCTCACTTGGCGCATGCACTGCCGCGCCCCAAGATGACCCAATATAGCCAGGCTTCTGAGCAGGCACGCATACCAGCACACACAACGGCTGGAGTACTCCGCCAAATGTGCAATGCAAACCACCGCCTCGAGCGCGCCCTCGCACTACGGTAACTGCGCACATCATGCGATCATGGCAGTACTCGAGGGGTGTGGTTTGGTCATGCACATCAGACGAGTTTCAAGAGCATGCTGGTTTGGAGGGGCTGCAGCAACTTTTCTTTCTGTGGTGCTTTGCTGCAGCTGCATAGACCTGCTCCAGCACACCTGGCGTGGCCTGGAGCGGACCGCGCGCGGCAACACCACATCCATTTCCCCGTCCAATGCAGGTGAGGAAGAAGTGTCAGGTTTTTGTGAACGTCATGGCGTGGGGCTCTTGATTATGCCGTAATGGCGACAGCTGCCGAGCTGAGCGGGCAGCTGTCTCTGAGAAGGCGAAGCTGCACATGTAGCCGCCCCATGCGATGAAGCGCTCACATGCTGCAATTGGTCATTCACAATCAACCTTGTATGCTCTCTCGCATACCTTACCTCCGCTTTAGCCCCACGTGCTGTATCATTCGTTCTGAGTTGTTCGGTGTTCTCGGTACGTCTGGTCCGTGAACCTCAGTCGGTGCTCGTGACCCCGGAGCTGTTCATTCGGCTCAAGACTAGATATAGGTTCAAGGTGAGCAGCGTGGGGCGCCTACACGAGATGGGGGTTTATGACGTCCCCCGGCAACTTCACCTTCTCGGCCCTGCCGAGGCCCTCAGCGCGGCCTGTGTGCTTGTGGTTATCGTTCTCATGTAGTTGCACGTATGCTGCGGGCTTCTGAGGGGGCCTGCGGTCAGATCCTCGAAGCAGGGCAACTGGGCACCCACCTGCCCACCCGCCAATGCGTCGTGATGACAGCCTCCCTACAACCCACATGTAGGTTTCTAGAAGTCTGCTGGCAGCACAAACCTGCGGGTGGCTGTACAGGTAGCTGGCGCACCAATGTTGGTGTTCATCGGAGCTGCTGTGGAGGCCAGCGCTGCGATGGCAACATGGGTCCTGCTGCAGGTGGGGCCGGCATGCATGCGTGCCGTGCGATGCAATTGGATCTGGTGATGGAAATTTATGTCGGCGGTCTGTGCACTCCTGCGTGCTTGCCCGCTGTGGCACGACGCTCGAGACACTAGATGCAAGCAGGGTGTTTGGTGGCGCTCTCATCACGCTCGGCTGGTTAAGCCCCTTGCCTCCTGAGCCACACACAGTGGTCCTGCCTGCACACCTCTGCACCCACCCTGTAGGTGATCCTGCAGCTTGTCGCTGTCGCCGCCAGCCTTTTAGGCCTGCAGGCTGAAGTCACAGCTCCATGCTCTGGCATGACGGAGCAACAACGCCTGTGCAAACAACCGGCGTTCACGGTACGTGAGAGCTGGTGTCGGGATGCGATCGGGAAGCGCCTGCGTCACGCTCGAAGCACCAGGCTTTGCTGCCTCCTTGTGATGTACTGACCATTGTGGCAGCCTTTCAACTCCTGCCCGCGCAGCTCAAAACGCGGGGTGAACTTGCCAGTTCTTGCTGTTTGGCTGCCACACCCTTGCAAAAAGCCCCTCCTTGACCTCCTCCTGTTTCAACGCCTCCTCGCCCGCCCCCAGGCCCTGGCAAAGCACGAGCGCCAACTGGCACGCCGCGAGCGTGCAGTGTCCAGAAGGGAGGAGGACATCAAAGCCTCGCTTCGCCGCCTGCGCGCCACCAAGTGGGCGATGTTGCGGAGGCCCGCCAACAAGGCAGCGCCGCGGCGAGAGCAGCAACAGGGGGATGCGGTGAGCCGATCGCTTTCTTGTGATGATTGGCTGAGCTGGTGCACGCCGACTGGAATCTCCCCTGCACACAATGCCAAAGACATGCTGAGACGCCCTTGTTGCCACTCAGCCATGTCACACAACAGGCTGCGCACCGAGCGCTTCCATGCCTCCCAGGCGTGTAATTTGACCTTGATGTGCGCGTTCGCAAGCAATTTTTTATACATCATTTCTCCCCTCATGCAAATGCTGACAAAGACCGGTCATGCCGCCTCACACGCAGGGCGCCTCCAACATGGGGCCCACCCCTTGCAGCGAGGAGGAGGCCAGTGCACCGCGGACGCCGCGCAGAACCCGCGACAGCGCGGTCACTGTGCAAGCCTCCAGCGCCCCGAAGAACATATCTACCGCTGCCCACACCGACCCACCCATGGCGCCACGTGCAGCGGCCCCGGGCAGCCCGGTCCTGCTCACGCCAACAAACAGCACCCTGGGGCGCAGCGCATCGGGCCGCAGGCTCAGCCGCCTGGGCAGCGGCTCGCGCCGCCGCCTCAGCCGCGGGGCCAGCGGCAGCAGCTGCGACGGCAGCAGCGACGGCGCCTCGATGGAAGCCGCACCTGAGCAGCTCAGCGGGTGCGGCGCAGCGCAGCAGCATTCACAGGGGCAGGAGCCCCTGCTGCAGCCGCTGAGGCTGCACGGCACGGCGGCGGCGCAGCTCTCCGCGCAGGAGCCTGCCTTCAGGCCGCCCACGCCGACAGCCGTGGACGCCAAGCCAGCTTTCTTGCTGTCAGGCACCAGCCTGCACCCCATCCCTCACACGGCCTTCGCCAACCCCTCAGCAGCAGCAGCCCTGCTGGCGACGCCGCGGGCGGGGCCCCCGTCCCCGCCTCGCAGCCCGCCGCCGCCCCCGCTGCCGCCCCCAGGCGCGCCTCGCGGCGGCGCCCCGCCACCGCCGCTGGCGCGCGCGGCGCTCGCTTCCCGCAGTGCCGGCTTTGGCGGCGCTAGCGCTCCCGCGGCGGCGGCCCTCGCTGTTCAGGCGCGGCCGGCCTGCAGGCAGGCGTACGTGTCGGCAGTGCCGGACAAGAATGTCCCAGGCAGCATCTGGGAGGCCATCGGCGCCGCCCTGAGGGAGGAGGCGCCCGCCCTGGACCTGGCACCCCTGGAAGAGTCCTTTGCACTGGTGGGCGGGGCCGGCCGCGGCAGGAAGCTTGCGAAGTCGGGGGCCGTGGCGGCGCCGCAGGTCGCAGGAGCGGCGGGGCCCGACCCCGGGCTGGACAGAGCACCTTGGCGCCCAACAGCTTCATGCACACCTGGCCCGCTCCTTTGGCCAACACGATACAATAACTTCCTTGTTGTGCGCTGACCTCCAGCCTGTCGCTGCTCCCGTTGCTGTGCCGTGTCTGTCCCAGGCCAAGGCGGCCCAAGCGGAACCCTCCACGCCAAAGAATACCGTCAACGCCGTCATCGACCTGAGGAGGGCCACCAACGTGGGCATCACGCTGAGGGGCTGCCAGATCACGCCCAAGGTGCGCTGCATATGGTGGCTAGTGGCCGCAAGGTTTGGGTTTGTGGGTGTTCAAGGTGGGGGTTTTGAATGGGTGGTGGCCCCAAAGCTTCATCCCTGCAATCGTGTACTTCACCCTGAGGTCTTGTTTTGCCCGGGCAACCCCATGATGCACTTCACAACCTCACCCCCAAAACCCTATCCCCCTTACGTACCCCCCAGAACGTGGTGTCCTCGGTGACGGCCAGGAGCGGGCCGGCCTTTGAGAGCCCGGACCTGCTGAGGGGTCTGATTCCCTGCATACCTACGGAGGACGAGCGTGCCTCCCTGGAGGTGAGCCTTTTGGGGGGGGGGCGGTTAGGGGACGGGCCAGACGCCAGGCTGCAGGACATCAGGATTGCGCCAAACAGCAACCCACATAAAAGCGTACAACCATCCATGGGACAAGGTGGTTGTCAGTAGACTCCATGCGATGAGCTGCAACACCACTGGTCTTCACATACTCACAGCGCACGCGCAAACTCTCCCCCCAAACACACACACACACACGGACAAACTCAAACACACACCCACTGACACGCGTGATGCTTTGCCTGCCTGTGCATCCCCCTCGCAGGCGTACGCGCGGAAGGGTGGCGCCCTGTCGTCCCTGTCGGCCACGGAGCAGGTCATGGCGGCCCTGGCGGGCATCCCGCGGCTGGCGCAGCGCCTGAGGGCGTGCCAGCTGGACCTGGAGCTGCCCGAGAAGCTGGCACACGCGCAGGACCTGCTCAAGGTGAGCTTTAGCCTGCTGCCCCGCTGAACGGTGCTTGCCTTGCCCTGCCAGGGTGTTTTGCTCAAGGCGTGGCAGCCAACCGGGCAACCGCGGCAGGGCGGTGCGCTGCCGCCATGTCGTGGCCGCGTGCTTGCTTGCTGCCCCCGCGCTCCACCGAGCTGCTCCTGTGCCGCAGCCCTGCACCTGTTTCCCCGTCAGGATTCGCATGCGCACCCCTCACTCCAACGCGAACCAACATTTTGTCATACACGCTCACCCGCAGGCGCGCATCCAGACCGCCCAGGAGCTGCGCGCCAGCCCCACGCTA